TATTAATATTTAATAAGATGAATTTCTGAATTTTAAATTAAAATTTTGGTTTTCAAATATAATTTAAGATTCTAATTTTTTTTAATTGTCAAGATTGATATGCATTAATTTCATAAATGAATAAATTATATTACTATTATAATTTTTTGAAACAAATAATGTTATTACACTAATTACGTTTTCAAATTTGGTTGTTTGTTTTGGAGACTTATTATATGAGTTATTACCCGTTTTTATTTTTGGTTTTGGTATATATATAGTTGATTTCTAGTTCTAGTTGTCATGGTTGCTATTTTTTTTTTTTGCATGAAATTAAAACAAAAAAAAAAAGAAAAAGAAATGAAAGTGTTATTAAACGGCTTTAATTTATGGTAGCACATTTTTCTCCTCCATATATTTTATTTTATGAGGTGAGATTCTTAGAAGTAAAATATATTAAACTCTAAAATCTTTTATATGAAAAAATGTATCATGTATACGGGATCTTGAAAAATTGTATGATCAAAATAACAAGAAAGCAGGCAAACCTAGCTCCTTACCTTAGTCCTTGCGCAGGGTATAACTTCGGTGCAAAAATAACTGTCATCAAACCAAGAGGAGAAAAATAAATATGTAAGAAAATTAAATTATAAGAAATTAATTAAAGACATATGATCTACGAAACAAAAGCATATATACCCTAACAAATTGTTAAAAAAATTTCTTAATTTGTCTTTATGCATCAAACAAATGAATGAGTGAAAATAGTAGAAATTAACTGCTTGTATGTATATATGTACCTGGAAGATTAAGATCTTAAAGCTTGCAGAGAAGAAACAAAGTTATGGAAGAAAAGAGAGTTTATAAAAATGGCGAAGGAGCAATTTTAATAATGAAGAATGGCTTCATCACCAGAACTCCTTATGACCCTTGTGAGCCTTCGTAGAAACACCTAAACGGATTTTTAGCCCTTTCCTAGAAAATGTTTAGAAAAAAGCAGGATAAATGATTAATTTCCTGGAAAGTACTTGGAAAAGCAAGGGAAAGGAGTTCGTCGACAATAATTGAAACGCGACAAACCTGAAAAGCAAGTCAATGGTAACGGGTTGTTCGATAGCCGCACATGCACATGAGAAGCTATAATGCCAAGAAAAATCCCTAAACTTTGTATAATTTAAAGGCTCACTGTCATCCTTTTAGTACAAAAGGAATCATCAAGATCCTCAAAACTCGAAACTTTGAATAAAGAGTCAATTATTGTCCTTCTGTTAACGGATCTTGTAACATGGTATACAAAGGTTAAGTTTGTTGTAAAAACAAACGGATCTTTTTTCTTATTTTTCATCAACGAGTGGATTTAATGAAGATTATACTCTCTCGGTTCAAATCATCTTTTAGTTATTTTTAAAGTAAATATCATGTCATTATTTTTGAATTCAATAAAAATTATTGGTGACTTTAGTTTATCTAAATAAATTAAAAAACAATGATATGAAGATAATTTTTTATCTATTTTTTATATAATTTTTATTTGTTATTAAATAAATAGATATATTTAATATTATAAGTATTAAATAAATAAATAAATAAATAAAATTAATTATTTAAATTTTTTTTAAAAACAAAATTAAATTTATTTCTAAATTAAAAAAACAAGGTATTCAAGTCCGTATACACTAAGGCATGGTTAACATGTCAACCCTTCCCAGTAGTATGCAATACAAAATGCAATGCATTAAATTATCTGGTACATATCCATTCACAGTACTCATTCTCATATATATATATATATATATATTGGTAGGAATACTCATTCTCATATGCCATATGTAGTTTAGATTTTGTAAAAAACACATTACCCTGCATCAAAATTAAAGATAGAGCCTTAGGATTCGAAATCCATTCATGGAAAACCATAAAAAATTATAAAGTGAGATTTTAATTAAAAATAAGGTCACATGTCTTATTATAATTGGTTGGATAAAAAGTAATTAAAAATAGAGTTATCTTAATTTGTCGTATTATTTTTTTTACACCGTGAATAATTGTTTTTTGGTCATGTAAGTTGATCATATGATGTCATTTTCATTTCATAAAAAAAGATGTCATTTTTAGATTGAGTTAACGTTCACTTGTGATTTAATTGATGCAAGGGAAAAAAATATGTATTTTTTTAAAGTTGAGGATTAAAAAAATATATAAAATAATTTAAGAATTAAAATTATATAAAATTAAAAGTCTAAGAATGAAAATTGACATTTAACATTTTAAGCTTAACGGAGGAAATGGCTTGATTGCGTCAGCCGCCAGAAAAGGGGCTGTTTAAATAGGTTAGAGGGGGTATGTTGCAGCCAAAAAACGTAGAAGGATTGATATGCCACAACTTTACTAGTAGAGGGGCTAATTTGCCTGAAAAAAAAGGGGTTTCTTGGAAAATGTAAACCTTAGAAAAAGCAGGTTGATTAAAAAAAAAAGGGATAAAAGAAAGTTTTGTCGGCAAAAGTTGTTGAAAGATTATTTATGTAATGCTTGGACAACCTCTTAAAATGGACGAAAATCTTTCACCGGATACGCTTTGGAAAAAGATGATATTCTTTCGTCCATACCTTGCGTAAGAACAAGTCAGCCAACATTATCTGTGAATTTTTTAATTTATGTTAGGTTTTTCACTTGGTACACAATAAAAATATATTTATTATATTTATTTATTATAAATTTATATAAA